ATAGAGTGCTCCCTGGGACTTGTGCAATTTTCAGAGGAGCAGAACAGTCAAAGCAGAGGCAAACTTGTGCATGGCAGTGACTTTCCGAGCGGAGCCGAGCGCGCATTGCATTGGGCCCTCTTCCCGAGGCCGTTTACTGCTTTCATTAGATTAGTTAATTTATTAATTAATTAATTGGTCTGTAATAATTAATTAGCTTGTAGGTTAATTAATTTGTATTATTCTTTTGCTCCCTCCGAGCGAGGGTGAATTTGTAATAAGTGTGGGTGCGTGTGTGCATGTCTTCCAACCCCCACTTCTTTCTCCCTTTTACTTACCTTCTTTCGATGGTTAGTATTAGGACATGTTTATTTTAGCATACCTTATGCTATGCATGCGTGCATCATTCATCAGTATTGCATGCACCAGGCTCGGCGCATCATACTAACTGCATAAGTATTTCAAATCTAACTTGAATACATGCTACTTGTGCATTTTCACATATCATCTATAGACTAGCCGAGCCTACTCTAGTGACATTCTGTATGCGTTGCATTAGCCACTTAACATGGACTTGGATCATGCATTGATTGCTAACATGTTTTTGTTTTGGCTCGGAGTACTAGGTAAGCATTTATGCTTTAGCATACCGCATGCGTGTGAGTGTTGCCAGAATAGCATGATTACCATGAGGCTAGATGCTTATGTGATATAAACTGCTTGAATGCCTGTGGGTGAAGGTTAGATTGTTTGAGTTGGAACAACTCGTTGAAATCCGTGCTTTAGCCTATTTACGAGTAGCAAATTCCAAAGTGTTTTTCAAGACAAACGGATATGCAATGCTTATTTCCAAATTAGGCAATCTAATCTATACTTGTTTGCTGTGCGCATAACATAGTAACTCTAGGCTAATAACCGGAATAAGAACACATAACGTTTTCAAAATCGGATATCACGGTTAGTAGAGGCCGATCTTCGGATCGGGCGAGAGGGGGTGCTCATAGCTGACCTTCCCCGATCGTATCCTAGCTCCCGCGCCGAGGCAACTTTGGTGATGACGGACACGTGGCCTTTGGCACCGAGTCAGGGTTTCCTAAATTCCGCCATAATAAAATATTTAGGTGGTGACTCTGTATCTGGCAAAGCAGTCCATGTTTGGCACTTCTTTTCAAAAAATCTGTTTCTCAAAACGATTTGCCGGATTTGGACTCCTTGGCTCAGATTAAGAACCGTGACACAAATCGAGTCCGAACTGTAGCATGAGGCCCACGGGCGCATCTACACCAAGCGTGCCCAACAATTCAAACTCCCAATCTTTGATCTGATATTACTAGTGTAATGTGAAACAAAAAACAAAAGTCTAGATTTGACAAATTTTTTTTATAGAAAATCCATTTTATTGCAAAACATTTGCCAGAAATGGACTACATCACCAGATTTTAGAGTCGCCACCTAATCTTTTGGGGATATTAGAAAACCTGTGACTCGTACCAAAGGCCATTGTCCACCATAACTAAAGTGTCTCGGCTCAGGAGCTTAGGTATGAGGGGGAAGGTCATTAGTTGAGCACTCCTACTCACCAGATCACAAGATTGGCCAATACTAAGTCATGACATGGATTTTATAATCAATATATATTCATGTTCTGGTTATTATTAATACTCATATTACTATCTGAGGCAATCAAATATAGACTGTGTCACTGATTTTGATTATGGTTTGATTTCATGCATTTTTGAAAAACCTACAAACTCAGAAGTATAAGAATCAATTATATTCCAATAAAGAAACACAACCTCTATCCACTAGCATGCATGTAGATATTTGAATTAACCATTTAGTCTTGTGGTATAGCAATGAACATGATAAATAACACGCACATACATCATGCTAAAGCAAAGAAACGCTCAACTAGTACTTCGAGATGAGCCAAAAGAATAGGTTAGAATACATGCATGATCCTATATACAATAACTAATGCAATACATACATGATATGCATCAATAGGTCCGAATACTAAGATATGGCATGGATATCATCGCACGGGATAGTGCACATAACACATATTCAATTTTAGAAATGATAATTCCCACAAATGCAAATAAGTCAGACTAGAATACATGAAAAATGGATGCAATACTTGGGCGTGATATATAAGACATAATGCTATATAGAAAGCTTTTAAATAAAAGGATTAGAAAGACGCGGGGTTGGAGGATTATTACAACAATTCGAATGTGAGAGAGAGAGAGAGAGAGAGAGAGAGAGAGAGAGAGAGATTATTACAACAATTGAATAACTGATAAAAGAAAACAAGGGGGTTTGAAGAAATTATTACAACAATGAATGGATTCAGCCAAATTAATGTTGAATCCAACCAATCATCTTAAATAAATAGAATAACTCAACCAGCAACTCCAGAACCACTCAGGAGAGCACTCCCCAGAAACTGTTTGCTCTGTTCTTGGAAGGATCATCCGGCCAGACACAAAAATGGGCCAGCCGAGCAGGAAATTAGCCGACCAAACTCTTCTTCCGGTTTAGATTTGGGTCAGTGCGGAAATTCCAAAACAAAGGCCAAAGGACATTTTCTAAGGGGTGCTCATCCCTTCTACCCCTCTGCCTACAAGGATCACTTAGGGAAGATGTAGATAGGCTATGACTTTTAACAATGATATAAACAGATATTTTGCTAAAAAGAACAAATTAAATGAATCAAAAGTAATAACAAATTCAAGCCCAAGGAAATGATAGGAACCTACATCTTCTCTTTGTGAATAAGGGAAAATTAATACCCAAATCCATGTCATTAAGTGGAGAGCGTAGATTAACGCAAATCATTTATTGGTGGAAGCTTTGCTTTTAAAACAAGGGATTCAATAGAAACACTGCTGGAAATATATATAGACATACAACGAGGATGCTTCCACTCTTTTCTATGTTCACAAATGATTGAAAATGGAGATTTTAATACCCTTTGACCCTAAAACTATTGTTTTACTTCCAGAAAACAAACAAAAAGAAAGAGAACACAACTCTTTCAACATCAAAACCCAAGAATCACTCAAGGAATCCTATGAACCGACCACCCTACTAATTATCTTTGAGCACAGGTTGAAACATATGGATTGATACACTTGAGAGGTGAAGAGAAGGAGTGTAACAACAAGAAAAACTACTTTATTTATTGAACTTGTGAATGGATGGCTAATAGCTACTCCCAAACACATCCACAAGGGTCCAA